CTGCTGTCCACCCCCAGAGCCTCCGCCTCCACCAGCAGCACCACCAGACGCAGCTCCCTGACCTCCACCCCTGCCAGCTCCACCTTGACCGCCACCCGAGCCCCCTCCACCACCCCCACTGCCTCCACCACCCCTGGCACCTCCACCGTCACCACCACCTCCGCCACCCCCGCCACCGCCACCTCCACCACCCCCGCCACCGCCACCGCTACCACTACCCCCACCACCCCCACCGCCCCCACCCTTCTTGCGCGCACCCCTGTTGCGCCTCCCGCTAGCAGCGGAAGCAGCTCCGGCCTCCTCGGAACCGAGGAGGTCAACATCAGCAGCTGAGGCAACAGCAGGCGCGAGGAGGGAAGGGGATCATTCCTCAAAGACGGAGGGGCGAGGAGTGCCACGGGAGGCAGCTACAGCGTAGGCACTGGTCTCTGCCTCAAGGAGATGGGACTCAAACGAGGCAAGGGTGAGCTCGGTGGGGTCTAGGGAGAGGAAGTGGTCTCGCACGGCGCGAAGAGAGTCAGGGAGGCGAGTCGTGAGGAAGTAGAGAGTGAGATACATGGAGGGCTGGTTCTCAGCCAGAAAGTCTGGCTTGAGAGCAGCACGGTAGCGCGTGTCAAGGGAGCGTAGGTGAGTCATGAGGTCGGCTACAGTGGCAAAGTCAGACAGATCAGGAAAGAGAAACGGCAGCGCAAGACGACCTAGGGTGGCAGAAGAGGCGGAGGAGTAGCGCTTGACTACAGCGTCATAGGGCACTTGGCCGTTTTCAGCTGACAAAAGTGGGACCTCTGATCGGGCGGGAGGTGAGTGCGGACTGCAAGCTGGGCAGTGGTGTCGCGTGTTAACCACTATGTATATGCTACGCGGTCAGTCCTATACTGTTGCTGTACATCCGCTGGCGCAGTAGGGGCAGGTGCATCCGGAGCGGGCGGGGCCTGAGAGGACCCCGACGTGTGCTAAAAAGGCGAAACGTCGTCCTTAGTAACACTAAGCATGTACATGTGAAGGTCCTCTAGCCAGGACTCATACTCGATTGGGAGGCCCTCTGCGTCAAACGTAAGTACAGTGGGTGTCGCAATGGTACACAGCGGCGCTTAGGCGGCAGCAGCACAGGAGCAGTAACGGCGGTGCAAGGGCAACAATGGCAACAATACAGCGCACGGGCAGTAGCGGCGGTGGTGCGGTGCACGGGCGGCAGTGGCGGCTGTGTGGTACACGGGCGGCGGCGGTGCGGCGCACGGGCGGCAGGAGCGGCGGTGCAAGGGCGGCAGTTGTAGCGGCAGTGGCAGCGGTTGCGGCTGCGGCAAGGGCAGCGGCGGCAGCTGTAGTGGCAGTTGCATCGGTTGTAGCGGCAGCGGCGGCAGTTGCGGCTGCGGCAGGGGCGGCGGCGGCAGCTGTAGCGGCAGCTGTAGCGACTGTAGCGGCAGCGGCGGCAGTTGCGGCTGCGACAGGGGCGGCGGCGGCAGCTGTAGCGGCAGTTGCAGTGGCTGTAGCGGCAGCAGCAGCGGTGGAAGAGGCAGCGGCTGTGGCAGGGAAGGCGGCAGCAGCTGTAGCGGCAGCTGCAGCGGCTGTAGCGGCAGCGGGGCGCAGGGCAGTGCCGCGCAGGGCAGCGGCACGCAGGGCAGCGGCGTGCGGCGCAGCGGCGCGCGGGGCAGCAGAGCGTGTGGAGCAGCATCGCGCGCGGCAGCGACGCCCGGCGCAGCAGCACGCGGGGCAGCAGCGCGCAGGGCAGCGCGCAGGGCAGCTGCACGCGGGGCAGTGGCATGCGGCGCAGTGGCGAAAGAGCCCGCGGGGCAGCGGGGCGGGCGGCGCAGCGTCGCGCGGAACAGGGACGCACAGGGCAGCAGCGCGCGGGGCAGCGGGGCGCAGGGCAGTAACGCGCGGGGTAGCGGGGCGCGGGGCAGCGGCGCGCACAGTGCAGTAGCGCGCGGGGCAGCAGCACACGGGGCAGCGGCGCGCACGGTGCAGTAGCGCGCAGGGCAGTAGGAACGGGCAATAGCGTGGGCAGTAACGGGCATTAGGAACGGGCAGGACCTAACCTACTCGATGATACCATGTTAATAAGTACGAACAGCGGAATTGTTGACTATGGGAAATGAAAGGTACATGTACTAACCCTAAAAGGGTTGTACCCTATATGGGCTACTCCGCTACAATGTCTCGTTGTGAAAATCCCAACCATTAGACCACTGGGATAAAAGAGCTTGTTAAGTAGCACGTGAGTGCGCCCATACCCCTCCAGGCTAGCAAGTTTGTAACCCTTCCCTAGGATCAATCGGACATCCCCAGTCCAGGTCTTTTGACACACGTTACCACATCGTGACATTCGCTTCGACACTGTTCCCGCCACCACCATTGTCGCGCCCGAACCACACGGCTCGGTTGGTAACTCGCGGCCTAGCCCTACGCCTCAACATTTCCCAAACATCGGCGCTATGCTCGAAGGGCACCCTTTGCGAGCGCTCGTTACCGTTCTCATTTTTTTTTGTTTTTTTTAATGCCTTTGCTCATTGTACGGTATTGTTGCTACGATAATGCAATTATCTCTCTATCACTCAATTGCACTCGCAAAAATTATGAAGCCAATGCATACATTCATAACTTGGCTGCTCAAAAGTGGTGTATACGTCAGTTGGTACAAAGCGTTTTGAAATGCACTCGAACAAGTACAGCTTATGGGTTCCAGGGGAGCGCTTCGTGATAGGGTGGGGCGGGCCATTCCATCCAGCAAATCAAGGGCTGGTTCGGGTTGTGGTGAAAGGTCAAGAGTAGACTCGCCTGGAACCATGCTTCCTGGTTCGCCGGACGTCGCGGCGCTTGCTGCTCCAACCGCAAACAACATTCACCAATACGTGTTTCAGTAGTGCTTCAACCAGTCGCACGTCAACATGCTGAGCGAGAAGCTCCGCGCTTCCTTGACAAAGGTAGTTCAAAATTCTAAGCTACCCCAAAGACTGAGGCACATTGGTGAGACACATTGGGGAAGAACCACGCTCAACCCTCAAATTCAGCTTCACCTGCCCTGCTTGGTTTGCCAGGAGTATCAGATCGAAAAATGAATATTTTCTCACATACTGTTTGCGAACCTCAATATTAAATAAAAAACGAAGATGTCGATTTTTGTCCCTGATCATGTGGCATAGTCTGGGATTTACCTGTAAATTATTTGAGAAACGTGCTTCGGGTCGCTGGAAACAACCGAGGCGCGCATTTGCACAAATCAACTTCTCCCCCTTGTTTCGAATGCCCCTGTGCTGTGCTTGGAAGGAACCACCACCACCACCCTTCGCTTCTGTCCAACTCGACACCAACATGCCTGCTATTTTAGCTCATCACAATGCAAATTCATCTCAGCACATGAACAACTTCCAGTTCGTCATCCCCACCCTGTCCCACTTCCCACTAATGGCTCCTGGCCGCATCTCCTTCGTTCCTAAACTACCGGCGGTCATGATGATTCTGGCCCTCTTCATATCTCTCCTCGCCCGTACTTCCGACGCACAGGGATACTCTGCTGGTCCTGTCCTCCGCCACACTAAATCGGTCGACACCCCGGGAGGCCAGGCTGGGGCCGACATTGTGGTGGCGAAGGATGGCAGCGGCGACTTTACCACAGTTCAGGTGAATCATCTGTCATCCTGTGCGATTTATCTTCTTGACTATAAGTGCCCAATGTTTCTCGCATCCGAAGTACTGAGCTTTCTCACGAAGCGTCCATCACACGCTTACGCTGAATCAAATTCCGCGACGTACCTCTCACATGCCTCTTCATTAATCCCGTCTGTTTTCTCCAGGCCGCGCTTGACGCCATACGTCCTGGCACGCCGTCCCGCTGGAGTGTGATTTTTATTGAGAGCGGCGTGTACTGGGAACGCGTCGTGGTGAGTACATTGTCTAGCGCTCGACCCATTCGTAGTGAACGCATTAGGAAGCGACTCTCAAGCCAAAGTTCGCGACAACATAGGCATTTTGATTGATATCCTCCCGCGCATCTCCTTACTGACGAGTGACACATGGAAGAACTACCACGCATACAACCACGCTGAATCTTATCTGATTCTTCCGCAGATGAACGAGTCGTTGCACCACGTCATGCTGGTGGGGGCTAACGGCCGCAAGGGAGACCGCGCCAAGATTACGTTCGCTAAAGCCATGCCTTCAGGAGGGGGACTGGACGACAGCGCGACGTTTCGTCTGCTGGCAAACGACGTGATGGTGTGGAATGTCGTTTTCGAAAATGCCTACGGACCCGGCGACATGGGAGGGTGAGCTGAGAGCGTCTATTTGCGTGCGTATGTGTGCTATTGGGAGGGGCGGAAGAGATCAAATCATTTATTATTGTTGTAGCGAATGCCAGATAACTGCTTTCAGCTGTCTAGTAATCTTCCTCGTGCTTGCCCTGATCGCGAGTGTCCTCTTTCGCTGCCGCTGTGCAATCCAACCGCCATGCGCATTCATCGTCGCTGCTCTTCCAGGAGGGCGGAGCAGGCACTGGCGATTCAAGTGGAGGGCACGCGCGTCGCATTCTTCCAATGCACGTTCATGGGATACCAGGTGCGACCGTGCAACGACAGTAAGACTATTTTAAAAAGTGGATCTTTGGAGTCTGCACGTTGTACCGCTGCACCTCCGTCAATCTTGCAGCCATCCGCTCACGCGCTTCATTCTGAGCCCATTTGTAGCTCAACTACCCGCCTGTCCTCGTGCATACGCCGCTCCTCTTCCCTTTATTTTCCCTGCAACCTGCACTGACCTTACTGATCCATCGCAACCCCTTGGCGGCCCCACCACAGGATACCCTATATGCGGCCAACGGTCTGCAGTACTACCGCAGCTGCAGTAAGTTGGCGTGTCCTCCATGCATATTCCCTCGCCCCCTGCACGCCCACCTTCCTGCTGCTTTCCCTTCTATCCTCTGCTCTCCTCTCCCCCCACCTCATTTTGTCCAACCCTCAACTGCCGCCTGCCCTTCCCCTCGGCTCGTGCCAGCGATCTTCGGGCGCATGGACTTCGTGTTCGGCAACGCCAAGGCCGTGTTCGACCAGTGCCGTTTCCGCCTCGTCTACTGGGGCGGGGCGTACTTCGCGCAGGCAAGGGACCAAGGGGAGGACACCGGCTTCGTCGTTTGGGGCGGCTCGCTCTCCCCGTACGGAAAGGGCCCCATTCGCCCCGGCTTCCTGGCACGCGCATGGGGGGCGTACTCCACAGTGGTGTTCGTGAAGACCTACTTTGATGTTGGGTCGGTTCGCGAGGAGGGTTGGAGCTTTGTGGGTGGTTACAGTAACACACAGAACGTCATTTTTGGTGCGTACAAGTGTTTCGGCCCCGGTTACAACTCGAGCCTGTGGGAGCACAACGGCAGGGAGATGAGCACGGCGGAGGCGGCGCCGTACATGTCGCCGGATTACATTAACAAGGGCAAGTGGATCCCGTACAACCCGCTCAACCTCATGCCCGCCGCTGGCAGCAGCGCGGTGGGCAGCGTGGGGACAGCGCGCGATCCAAAGTCACCCGTGGAGTCTATCGGCGCACGCGGACAGAGGCAACCTCGCGGAACCGGTTCGACAGGACGAGGCAACGGCACGGGGGGGACGTCTCGTGGTCAGTCCCCTTCGCACTCGCCTGTTAAGAGTTCTGGCGGCACGACCAAGGCTCGCGGCTCTCCCAGGAACGGCACCACTGGCACTTCAGGCGCGCACCCCGCCAAGGGCTCCAATGGCTCCGGGTCAGGGTCTGGAGGAACGCGAGGCACGCAGGGCAGTCGAAGCAGTGGCAGCAGCGCAGGCGGCAGAGGCAGTGGAAGCACGAGCAGCAGCGGAGGCAAGAGCAGCAGCGGAGGCAAGAGCAGCAGCGGAGGCAAGAGCAGCAGCGGAGGCAAGAGCAGCAGCGGAGGCACGAGCAGCAGCGGAGGCAAGAGCAGCAGCGGAAGCAAGAGCAGCAGCGGAGGCAAGAGCAGCAGCGGAAGCACGAACAGCAGCGGAGGCAAGAGTAGTGGGGGTGTGAATGGCAGCAAGAGCAGCAGGAAGGCCACCAGTGGGAGTAGTGGCAGCAACGGGAGCGCAAACAAGAGATCTTGAAGAGGTGGAAAGGACAGTGGGACTCCTGTTTGATGGATCTTGCCTTGAGCATGGCACATATGTTAGTATTAGATAGAAGGCAAGAAATTAGCCTAATAAAATCGTGAGTATCACTAGGCCAAGACTGCTTCCAAATGGATGCATGCACATGTTTTAGAGGCGCCATGTTAAACCTTCATAATATGATGTCATAGCCACCCTAAACCCGGCAGTCTCCAACGTAACTTCCATAAAGGAACGAGGTGGCTTTGCTTCTAGCATGTTGAATGGTCATGAAGTCACTCCCTACAGAACCTCGCCCTAAGAGTTGTTGAATCGAGCTGGAATCGTGGAGTAGCAGTGGCACCACTTGGGTCCTTGCCGCGCCATTGCTTCTCCTTTTCAGGGTATTTTACCCTGATTGCCCGTCCAATCAGGGTGATTTTTTGTACCAACCCTGCCAAACCTGGGTCCCGTCCGATTCCCACCCGGCCACTATCCGGGTGGGCTGTTTTTTTACGCTGCTGAGTCCGGGTTTCGACTTCTGTAACTCGGCCGTGAAAGGGTTCTCTTAAAAAGAACCCGGCCATCCGCACTACTCTGTCGTCTAAGTACAAGTTTGAGCCGAGATCTCTCTGTCCCACTTCTGACTGAAATATGTCCAAGTATAAAACTGAGCGGAGATCTCTCCACCCCACATCTGTGAAATTCGTCGAAGTATAAAGTTGAGCGGATCACTCACGACTCCCTTATTCTGTCTGAAATTCGTCTAAGTATAGAATCCAGCCGAGATCTTTCCACTATTCTCCCCGTGAAATTCGTATACAGTTGAGCGATCTCTCTACTCCACTCCTCTCTCCGAAATTCTTCGAACTCCCGTGTTCGGACTGAAATTCGTCTAAGTAGGGAGAACTTGTCGAATCCCCACTAAAATTCCGCTAACTGAAGCAGCACACAAGCTTGCGGAGCAAAGGCAGGGTTGCTGAAATTATGATCCTGCCACAAATCAGATTTTATAGAAAATACCCTGCCACTACCCGGATTTTTCCACTCGCCACCCGGCCTTGGCCGGGTGGCGGGTCGGGTGAACCCTGAAATGGAAGAGTGCCTCAAAACGAAAAGAGAGGCCTGTTCTGGGCCCATCTCTGCTGATGATGAGGAAAGCTGGTTGGATACCTTACCAAGTAAGCATACGGGTATGCCTTACACTTTTCCTGCACACTGCCAACTCAAATCCAGGTTCCACGCCAGAACTTCCAAGGTGCTGAGGTGCAGGAAGAGAATTTTGTGAGAAAACTAGCTGACGTCTTGGAAGAAGAAACAATAAGTACAGCATTACCGTATGTCTTCTCTGTATGAGTTGCAAAGGTACAGAAGAAAAACCATCTGTTGCAGTGTATTCTGTAAGCTGCAAAACATCTACATAGTAATATATTGTAAGCTGCAAAACATCTACCCTGAATCGAGCTGGAATCTACCCTGAAGGCATGACAGGGAAGAACGCCCTTGTCATTGTCTGTTTGTAGGCCCTGCATGTGTGTGTGTGTGTGTGACTCCAAACAAGAAAGATGGGCGATCGAGCGAGGCAACCCTTCGTGATCCCACCTGTCCTTAGGCACTCTACCCTCCCCCTGTCCTGCCCTTTCCATTCCTCTCCTTCCCCACCAATATCTTGTCACCTCATCCAAACAGCTTCTTAAAAAGTTTTTTCGCCTTGCCATCCTCCTTCGCTGGGGCTGTTCCATTCCCTCCACTCGCCCCATCCGCAGCACTGGGCTCGTCTCCAGCTCCATCCCCACTGCTGTCTCCGTTGCTGCTGTCCCCATTGCCACTCTTATCTTTCTTCCTCCTCCCAAACAACCCCTTCCTCTTCTTTGTTGGCTCCTCGGTTGTCCCACCCGCACTTGATCCTGATTCTCCCCCACTGCTGCTGTTGCTGCCGCTGCTCGTGTTGTCCTCATCAGCAGGGGGCGGTGGAGTCGTTTTCTTCGTCTTGCCCGCTGATCCAGTCTTCCCTGGACTTTCAGTAGCACCACTGCCTGTGCTGTTCTCTCCGCTTCCCTTCTTTTTGGTCGGTGCAGGGGGTGCAGGTGGGCTCACTACTTCAGCAGGTTGATCTTTATGTTTCCCTTTTTTCCCAGGGGGAGGGGCGGCAGGGGGGCTAGAGCTACCATCAGCAGACGGATCCTTCTTTCCCTTCTTCCCAGCAGCAGGAGCAGCGGGAGGTGCTGTCGTTTCAGCTGGCGGCACCTTCTTTCCCTTCTTCCCAGAAGCACGAGCAGCGGGAGGTGTTGTCGTTTCAGCTGGGGGCACCTTCTTTCCCTTCTTCCCAGCAGCAGGAGCAGCGGGAGGTGTTGTCGTTTCAGCTGGGGGCACCTTCTTTCCCTTCTTCCCAGCAGCAGGAGCAGCGGGAGGTGTTGTCGTTTCAGCTGGGGGCACCTTCTTTCCCTTCTTCCCAGCAGCAGGAGCAGCGGGAGGTGTTGTCGTTTCAGCTGGGGGCACCTTCTTTCCCTTCTTCCCAGCAGCAGGAGCAGCGGGAGGTGCTGTCGTTTCAGCTGGCGGCACCTTCTTTCCCTTCTTCCCAGCAGCAGGAGCAGCGGGAGGTGTTGTCGTTTCAGCTGGGGGCACCTTCTTTCCCTTCTTCCCAGCAGCAGGAGCAGCGGGAGGTGTTGTCGTTTCAGCTGGGGGCACCTTCTTTCCCTTCTTCCCAGCAGCAGGAGCAGCGGGAGGTGCTGTCACCTCAGATAGGTGCTCCTTCTTTTTCCCCTTCTTGCTATCAGGTGTGGCAGGAACAGGCCTGCTGGTGTCAGACGGTTGCTTCGTCTTTCCAGAGGACCCAGCACTGCTGCTGCCACTGGGCGCAGGAGGAGACTCGCCCACTCCCGTTGTACCCTTTTTGCCCTTTCCACTGCTGTTGCCACTTGCGCTGTTGCTGCTTCTAGGTCCGGCACCGCCGTTCGTGCTTGGCTTGCCAGTGTCCGCGTTTCTAGCCGAATCCGCTCCTTGTTTCTTGGCAGGCTGCTTCTGGGTACCACTGGAGGTCTGAGCCGGTGTCACACTGCCTGCAGCTTCCTTCTTATTCTTACTGTTGCCTTTCTTGGCTGCAGCCGCCGTTTCCGCAACGCCTCGGGTTACGGCCGCGGGATCCGCGATCCAGTTCATTTTGTTGATGTAGTCGTTGCTCAAGTACGGCTTCACCTCCTCCGCGCTCATTTCCGTCCCTATCTCCCACGCACTTGCATTGTAGCCCGGTCCAGAGCAACTGTATGCGCCGAATGTAACCGTGTCCATGTCCTTGTAACCACTCACGTAACTCCAACCTTCCGCGCGAACGGAGGCCGCGGCGAAATAAGTGTTGACGAAAATGACGGTCGAATAATCGCCCCATGAACGCGCAAGGTAACCGGGCTTGATGGGGCCTTTACCATACGGGCGGAGAGAGCCGCCCTTGATGACGAAACCCGTGTTCTGCTCCTTCCCGCGCGCCTGCGCGAAGTACGCGCCGCCCCAGTAGACGAGACGGAAGTTGCAGTCCTCAAACACGGCCTTGGCGTTGCCGAACACGAAGTCCATGCGCCCGTGGATGTCTGCGCGCGAGCACGTGAGTGAAGGTTGGTTAGGTATACTCTTTCAACTGGGCCGCTTTTCCATTTTAAATTACAGAACCAGAATGTACTCACTGCAGCCCTGGTAATACTGCAAGCCAGTCGCCGCGTAAAGGGTGTCCTGCAAGGAATAAGATCCACGGACCAGGCGGGAAAGGAAGAAAAGGAAGGTGGAAGGGCAATTAAAGAAGGCCAGGGTGCACAGAAGTAGCTGTTAAATTAATGCAGGTGTGAACGAAGGCGCACGGCTCTTCATGACACGTGGATTCGTTCCCGAAGAATACTCGTAACCTCCTATCGTGCTCACCTGATATCCGAGGAACGTGCATCCATAGAAGGCGACGCGCGTGCCGGAGACCTTTATTGCCAAGGCTTGGTCCTCGTCTCTGTGGGACACACGGGCACAAGCACCAACGAAAGAGAGAGAAACACAAGCGCTGAGCATCGTCTACCTTGTGGAAAGAAAAGCAGCGTAGGGAAGAAGAAAAGACCCCAACGCACGTGTCGAAGCGTTGGAGGCCACCCAAGATCTCGAACCTCACACATGCACACCCTATCAACTTCCTCCCTTACCCGCCCTGTTTGCCCGGTCCGTGCGCGTTTTCGAAGATGATGTTGGAGACCACCACGTCCGACGCCAGCAGCTGGAATGTGGCGCACTCGTCCAGACTCGAGTCGCCCGCCGCGCCCGATGACGTTATCTTCACGCCGCTGCCGGCCCTCTCGCCCACCAGCGCCACGTGGTGTAGCGATGTCGGCATCTGTTGCAATTATATCGCGATGCGCGAGGAACAAAGACACTCTATTAGACTCGTCGTTCAGGCATGATTCCAAAACTGAATATGAGAAAATCAACAGACAGAATAGCATTAAGGCCTTACCAGTGGCTGCTCCTCGTACACGCCAGCCTTGATGAGGATGACCGTGAACCTACCCCTCGTGCCGGACCACGCTGACGCAAGTGCTTCCTGAGTGTAACACGAGTGGATGTCACGAGCAGATGTCAGAATGTAGTTGATGGGTGTTGTGAACGAAAACAGTTGGTGAGTAGAGCAGGCAGTGGGGTGAAAGCAAAAAAAGATCAGCGCGTACATGCAGTGGGAAGCAATGGGGAACAGCCAGCTGAAGAAGACTTAGAAAGCATAAAATCCTGACTTTCAGTCGAACCGAGAATGTAGACCACGAACGTACATTGACTGAAGTAAAGTCGCCGCTTCCATCTTTTGCAACAACAATGTCAGCTCCGCCTTTGACTCCCGCACTTGCTAACGCTTGTGTTCCCTCTCCAGGTACCATGAAGATGAACAGGAAGAAAGCTGCACAACAAAATATGCTCCATGTCGCTGGTAATGTTCGGACGCGGGAATATCCTTTCGAGCACATGTCTCAAAGTGTGGTTTCTGCGTAAAGAAGGTTTATTGAATGAGGAAGGAATGCTGAGACGGAAATGTGAGATCACAACCACCAGATGGAATTTTACTTGGATGATTTGCTTGCTGTGCCCTGTCTCGTTCATCGCTTGGTTGGGACGAAACCGAACCGCGCATTGCTTGCTGCGTCTTGGTACGGGCCGCAATTCTTCTTGCTTTGCCTCGCGAATTGAAACAACATCAAAACGTTCAATTCAGCTCTCGCCCCACCTCATTGGTTTACCAGACTCTTCAGCCAACGCGAAGGGGCAAACGTGCGAAACTCCAAAATGTAAAATAAATATGGCGGTGCGCATTAAAAAACACCCGAATTTTTTATCGCTATGTTTTTGCAGTACAGCTGTGAGTGGTGTAATTGATTCTCACCTCTACTTCTCATTAATAAGTACAGTACATGCCACCTCACTGCCACCCTTTTATTGAAAGAAGCTACCCCTTCAGATGTGAGAGACCAAGTTGCTGCGGTCAGAAGTTAGATCGCCCCTAGGATCTCCTCAGGAAGTTTCGCACAAGGTGTGTGGTAGTGGTGGGCCCTTGACCTCAAATCAGAGTGAATGTAAAATGATCGAGATGATTAAAAAATGCAAATACAAGCGTATAAATAAGAGTACAGGTGGAATACGAAACGACCTAACTAGCCATGTACTCTAAGGGGTACATTCCCTTATTGCAGCGAAACCCAACCGTGCGACTCCAGACGGTTACGAACCGTTCGGGCAGAATCCTCGCGACTGCTGCTGCCTGATGCTGTCTGCCCTGACGGTCCAGATGCTCCGTAACCGTATGCGACCCTTCGCGTCATTCCGTCTCTTCGTCTTTAGCCTCGGTACTGCGTGCCTCGATTGCTGCTGTTAGGAGTGTACAATGTTCTTTCTCAATTTACTGTTCGTAACACCCCCCTTCACTACTGGCCGTAGCAAGTCTTGACCCGCTTGACTACTCCGCTGAGTTCGGAGAAGTGCTGGTACTGCTGACGTGACAGTCGCGTCGTGAGGAAGTCGGCTGCCATGTCACCTGTCGGGCAGTAGGTCAAGTCAACCTTGCCTTTGTCAACTTCATCTTTGACGAAGAAGTACCGCAGCGCAATGCGTTTGGTGCGGTTAACGAAACCAGGTTTGTTCGCGATCCTGATCGCGCTCTGGTTGTCGCAGTGCAGGCGAAAGGTGGTCGAGGTTGGGATTTTTCGCTTCCTGTAGGAGCTCATGTAGGTAGAGCCCTTTGCGAACAGCTGCTGTCGCGGCGATGAATTCAGCTTCGGCCGATGACAGGGCAACCAGCTCCTGCTTCTGTGAGTTCCAGGAGATGGGACCTGTTGGCTCCAGGCGGAACAAGAACTCGGTTATGGACCGTCGATTGTCGGGGTCAGCAGCGTGATCGGCGTCCACGTAGCCGATGAGCAGGGCTCTCCCTAGGGTCTGAGGGATGTCTGATGCATCAGACGGGCCCCCCGGGCAAAAAAACGTTTTTGTCTGATCCTGACTGGAAGATCAGATGAAGAAAAAAAAAACTGTCTGAAATCTCAGAAAAACTGACAAAAATGTCTGATAGCGAGGACCCTGCCGATGAGGTTGAAGGACGGGGTCGCGACTGTGGAGTAACAGAGCCCGACATTGGGCGTGGAGATGAAGAATTGCAGGGCGCGCTGAAGATCTAGATGATTTTCAGCCGTTGGTTTGCGTGAGTACTGAGCTAGCTGGCTCGCGATGTACGAGAGATCAGGTCTGCAGGTGACAGAGGCGAAGAGCAGGCATCCCAGCTGCTGCTGGTAGGTCAGAAGTCCAGCGAGGGACAGGGCCTTGTTGTCAGATTTGTAGTTCGGTCCTGGGGTGCGGTAAGGGGTGGAGAGCGGTGCAGGCGCGATGTTGAAGCGTTTGCCAAGTTCTTCTGCATACTTGGCAGCTGAAAGATGAATAGCATCTGGTGCGTAGGAGATGTTGAGGCCGAGGAACTGCTTCACGTCATGGTTGCAGGTGATGTAAACGCGCCCTGCAAGGTTCTTCTCGAACTGCTCAAGTAACTCGTTGCTTGACCCTGTGTAGAGCAAGTCGTCGACGTAGACCGTGAGCAGGATGTTTTCGCCGCGGAATTTGCGGCGGTACATCCCGGGATCGTGAGGCAGTTGCTTGAAGCCTATCTCAAGCAGAATGTTGTGCAGGTACTGCTGCCAGAGCCTCTGCGCCTGTTTAATCCCGTAGAGGGATTTTCGCAGCTGTCACATACGTGAGTCTCCTTCGCCGTATGTGTGCGGCTGCTCCACGTAGATTACCGCATCTACTAACGCATAGAGGAATGCGTTCTTCACATCGATTTGGCGAAGCGGCAAGTGCCTCGCGGCGGCGATGGCGAGTAAGATTCTAACGGAGGTAAGACGGCTGACCGGTGCGAACGTCTGGTCGAAATCGATGCCGTGCCTCTGATTGTAGCCGCGCACGACCCAACGCTCCTTAAATCGCTCGATCGTCCCGTCCGCTGCGGTCTTCACGCGGTAGACCCACTTGCCGGAGAGAATTCTTCTTCCTTTGATTGTGGCGCGATCGACGAGCACCCAGGTGTCGAGTGACTCAAGTGCCTTGATTTCTGCATCCATTGCCTCGCGCCATTCCTTGCTGTATGGTCCCGTGAGTGCTTGGCACGGATTCTTGGGCTCGATGACACGTGGCGCCGTTGAAGTGGCGGTGTGAAGCCCTAGCAGCTGCAGCCCTGAGACGGTGCTGTCGTGGCGGTGCTGGGGGGTGACCTCCTGCACGTCATCGTCGTCACTCTCTGGTTCAGGTGGTGGTGGCGGTGCTGCGCCTCTGCTGCTTCCGCCTGCTCTGCCGACTCCTCCTCCTGAGGGGTCTTCATCGGCATCGTCACTGCTATGGCGATCTCCTCTTGTGAACTCGCCTCTGGTGTACTCTTCCAGGATGGTTGCGGCAGCTTCGTCCTCGGGCGTGGCGTAGCTGTGCCCGTTATGGGCGTAGACGCGGTTCGCGTTCGTCTGTTCGTCCTCGCGGAACTGAGTGAGGTTGAGCTGTTCGTAGAAGATGACGTCGCGTGCGTTCGTGATCTTCTGGCTGAGTAGATCCAAGATGATCCACGCCTTGTATTCGCGACTGATGCCGAGGTGGATTCCCCAGCGCGCGCGGCTCGCGAACTTGCCGAGAGTTGATGTCGGCCGGCGATATTGCACCATGCACCCCCAGACGCAGAGCATGGATGTGTCGCCCTTCGTGCTCGTCCACTTCAGATGCGGGGATAGGTTGCCGGTGATGGCGGTGGTAGACAGCTGATTGTGCACCCGTACGGCGTGGTGCATCGCGTACGTCCAGTACGTCGGGGGAAGATTTGACTGCTTCAGCAGCGCCCGCAACTTCGTCATGAGTGTGCGGTTTGTGCGCTCGGTGACACCCTGCTGCTGGTGTGCGTAGGGGAGGGAGACGTGGTGCTCGATTCCTTTCTGCGCCAGGTAGTCCTGCATCTCCTTGCTGCGCCATCTGATTGCCAAAATTTTAGTTTCTTCCCAGATTGCCGCTGCGCGTGCGCCAGCCAGAGGCGGAAGGCCTTGTACGCTCTGCTGCGTGCTTCCACGTTCACGATCCAGACGTAGCGGGTTCCCGCGTCGACAAAGGTAAGAGTGTACTGCTCGTCGCTGGTTCCGCAGTAGCCCACGACGAGGAAGTCGATGTACACCTTGTGCAGTTTGGGGTAGCGATTGGTTCCAGGTTCCAGCAGGGGGAACGGCTGATGGCTCAGCGCAGCTTCGGGACAGACGGTGCAGTTGCACGGCTGTGTTGTGTTCCTCACTTTGGAGCCATCAGGGCGCAGGAGTGCGCCAGGCGCAAACACGTCAGCCTCGATGCAATTTTTCAGTGTCACGCGCGAGGGGTGACCAGGCGCTGGTGCCAAAGGTCATCGTTGGCGCGGAGTCCAGAGGTGCGCGCACGCACTGCTTCCGGATCCTCTTCAGGTGCTGGAGCAGGTTCCGCCGGCGCTTCTTCTCCTTCTTCCTCGTTCATCGTTGTCAGCATCAGCGCCAGAAATTCTCTGTCGAGCATCACGGAGAAGGGAATGTTGGTCACGGGGATTGTTCCAGGGACGAAGGTTGGCTCGCGCAGCTCGGGGTCAGGTCCGTAGACTGTGCGACGTGGGGTCGAGGGCTCATTGCCCCAGTCGATGGTGTCCCAAGGGTCGCGATGCGGTTGAACATCAGGGGGAGGTAGCGTAGGTGTAGGGAAGCGCGGGGGGCGACCGAGGGGAACAATAGGAGGCTCTGTTTCTTCTTCTCCCCCCCTTTGTTCCTCTCGGGAAGTGCCCCAGCCTCCGCCGGAGGTACCCCAACCGCTTGTCTC